TTGCTAATCCGTGGAGCTCAAGATAGATTATAAAAGGACGGCTGATTCTCCAGCAGCTTTTTGTCGCTCCTTGTGATCATCTACAGATAGACTACAACTTCAGAGCTGCACCAACATTTTGAAAGGTAAGTCTAATCAGATTTTCTTTCACGCCAGCTCTCTGCACTCTTAAACTACAAATACATTTTTCGTATTGTCGTATTTAACAGCTAGACAATCATGATTAGCAACGGGATTGTGATTGCTCAAGCCCTGCTGGTTAACATTAACCATGGCCATGTAGATGAGATTTAAGAACGTACATCCAGTGCTCACTTATTTTTTTAAATCTACTGTATGGAGTACGCAACAATCTGGTTAGTGTGACAAATCGCACCCCTGAAAAGGGGGAGGCGGATGATGGTGGCAAGGACACCACATAGTACGAGAAGGCCTGCGTGGTTCGACGTTGGCTCGTGTTATCGTTTTATCCCTAGCGCGTGCAAAAAAATGGATGAGCTAAATTCTAATTTATCTCAGTGTGGTGCTTGAGCCTGTCCTGAATAAGCTAGACCCACCTTCCTATCCATTTCCCCTAGCTGCAAACAAATAGAAGTAAAATCAAAGGATACGCCCCCTTAACCTTTTGAGCCTAGGAATTGAAGTCCTTCGCGATCTTGATCGACTTAGCGGGTTTCATTTTGATTTCAAGTCTTCTGGGCCGAATCATTCTCTTCCGAATTAGTTTTGTTGACCATATTTTCAGCTGCTAAATTGCTGAGTTCTGGTCTCTCGATTTCTTGCACTGCTTCTTTTGGAACGCAATAGTCTCCTTTCAGGTTGTTACTTCCGCATTTCCGCTGTGTCACGAGTTGAAGACGTTGCTCTTGTTTATCCCTTTTTTCTTTCTTTCTGGCCGAAGTCAGTGTTGGCGCTCACGCAATTTAAATCTGGTTAGCAACTAAGAAAAATGGTTTATGTATAAGTTAAAAGGATATTGGCAAAGTCGAATGCAAAGAATTTCTTGCCAGCAGGATTACTGCGTGTCCATTCTTTCCTAACGTGACACCAATTGCACATTGAGGCAGATATCAAGACACTTCAGGCTAGTCATTTGGGGAAAATTTTACTCTGTCCTATGTTAACAGTCGGGGAAATAACCATTTCTGGATATAGGTATCGTGCGTTGTGATTGGTTGAGATCAAAACCAAAACAAAGTAACTTTGGCCGAGAGCTACCGGCAGAAGATGAGTAGAAGTGATTACGGCCAGTTGTTATGCGGCTATCGGCCTAAACAAAATTAAAAGTAATACTAAATCAACCTAACGAGCTGCTTACATTACCGATGAATCATTTCCCGCCAAATACAATGTTAATACATTCAGACTTAATGCCTGTCGAGACTTGCCTATCTACTCTACTCTCCTTGGTAGTAGGTGGTGTGGTAGAGGAAGAGGGGTGGGGAGGGGGTAGACTATATTTTGAAAGTAAACATTTGATAAGTTACAATGTTAAATGTTTATATGATCTGATCATTGCACTATGCACACCGCGTAAAAAATCGTTTATCATCATTTATTTCAACATTTATTTCTTCTTTCTTACACAGGGCATTAACCAAGTGAATATGATTGCGAACATTGTTGGTTTCATCTTCATAAGCACAGTGTTGTGCCATGTACAGCCTATAACAGGTCCAGTTATTTTTACTTATTTTAGCCTTATTTGAGTAAAAATGCACTTGGGAGGGCCGTGTAAAAAAAAAGGTCTCAGTTCAAGGGCACTGTATCTCGCCAGTGCGTCACGATCTCTACAAAAGCCTTGTAAAACAAAGCAGTGATATCATTTATACATTACATTACATCACTCTAACGAAAGCACTAAAAGATGTACACTTTTTTTATGCGAGATCGATTACATTTACTCTCTGATTTTTTTCTTTTTCCTTTCCTTTTTTTTTTTTGGTAAGTGGTAATAATGTTTTATATTTTTGCTTCTTTTAAATAAATATAAATAAAAAAATACACTGATTTTGAAGAGGTCACTATGAAAGTCACGGAGGAAACAACAACAACAAAAAAAAAAAACAAAAAAAAACAAAAAACAAAGAAAAATAGCCGGGTAGAAAAAAACTATTCGCCAGGTATCGGGAAGGCTAAATTATTGATGGCTAGACTAAATTAAACTACTTGGTTGGGTTTCATTGGGATTTATCAAAATAATAAAAAGATGAACTTTTTTTTAGTGAGAAAAAAAAAAATTTAACTCTTGTTTTTTTTTTTTTTCCTTTTCTTTTTTTTTTTTGGTAAGTGGTAATAATGTTTTATATTTTTGCTTCTTTTAAATAAATATGAATAACAAAATACACTGGTTTTGAAGAGGTCACTATGAAAGTCACGGAGGAAACAACAACAACAACAAAAAAAAACAAAAAAAAACAAAAAACAAAGAAAAATAGCCGGGTAGAAAAAAACTATTCGCCAGGTATCGGGAAGGCTAAATTATTGATGGCTAGACTAAATTAAACTACTTGGTTGGGTTTCATTGGGTCTGCTACAGGGGGATGTGATTATCCCTCCACTCCGTGCGAAACTTAAGACCAACTCTAAATTTCCATCTGCTTAAATCCATCCTTGTCCAAAGTTCATGCATTTCTACAAATTTTTATTTTTATATGTTATTATTTTTTATTACAATTATTTATCCAGTCTCCTGTTTAGATGGATATCTGAGTGAGAGGCAGAAATACCGTACAACATGGCAAAAAAAAAAAAAAAATTGAGAGGAAAAAAAAAAGACAAAGATGCACAATTTATTTTCCTTTTTTCTATTAACTGAAATTTTCTGTTCGGATACAGGGCGTTTTTGCGATGCAAGGCCCAATGGTGATTACAGCGATCCTGATACTTGTTATGGTTTCATCGCATGCTCCAACGGAATTCCATATAAAATGCCATGTCCAGCAGGCCTAATGTTTAATGAAAAAGATGATAAGTGCGAAAACCCAGAAAACGTGCAATGTCGTAAGTATTAAAGTCAATCATCATCATCATCATCATCATTATCATATCATCACTGATATTGATGGTTCCTCTTATGCGCACTTTTAGCTCCCAAACATGGGCCTTACCCATGCTCCAAAAGAAATGCTGTTCATCAACTATAAACCTATGGGAGCATTTTTGCCTAGGAAAAAAAAGGGCAGTGGGAGAAAGAAGATACCCTTAGTAATGGCATGAGGAACTATAGGTAATGTAGACATGCAAGTGAGCATCGTGACGATTTTAAGATAGACGGCTTCTTGAGTTCTCGCATTATTGTGACGAAATCGTCCCATGTACACCGTAAGTGAATCAGAATTCCAGAATCCAGAAAATGTTTGCTGTAAAATCAGGAATACTGGTCTTTGGAATACCGAATTCGTGGTTTTCACATGACGTCACCAAAATTAAAACTAAGAAACTATCGCTTCTTCTGAGTTTCTACTTTCATGTGATATTAGAGCACCTTAAAACCTTCATACAAACAAATTTTCGGTTCAAAAGGGTTCTTCGTTTTGCGATACATGACTCTTGAATTTCCAGGCTTTTGCGTGACGCGGCATTTAGCTGGCGGCCGGGAAAGCTCTTATGTGGGTTAATGACATTACGGATTTTTGGAGATTTTGCAATCTGAACATTCCTTGTCTTAGAATAAATATTGCCTTAGTATTTATGAGTTCCTCAAGCAAAGAATTCACGCATAAGTAGGAAAACTGAAAAACAGATGTTTCTGTTGGTTCCCGGCGGCCATATTTGTGCCCCTGAAAGGGACACAAACACAGCGTCTCCATACAAAGCTTTATAAATTTGGGTAAAAGGTTTTTCCGAATATCTCGCATATGAACTATTGCATAGACCTGATTCTTGGCGAGGCTTTTTGTATATTTATCTTTATTCATTTCCCAGATTCTAGACTTTCTGTATTAAAAGGTTTCCATTTTTATTTCTGCTTTCCTCACGTGAGTGAAAACCGAGAATACAGCTCAACTAACGATTCGAATCCAAAATCTAAGTTCCGCTGACAAAGAATCCAGAATGCAGTACCTTGATTCCGGAATGCACAGCGTGAAATTCAGAATGCAAGACGAAACGAACGAAAGCTCTGATCTAACAAGAGGTCTAACAATAAGTTTCTCTTGTAGCTTTGAGACATTTTTGCGATGGAAAATCCAATGGAGACTATAAAGATCCCAACAACTGTTATGGTTTTATCAGATGCTACAAAGGGAGGGCATACAAAATGCTTTGCCCATCAGGTTGGCGGTTCAACATATTGACGCACCAGTGTGACTACCCATTTAAAGTTGCGTGTGGTAAGTCTACGCCACCCTTCTGGGGGATACTCCCTATGTTGGCCTTTACAGGGAGGCTCCGCCCGAAAGGGACATCTTTTTCAGGCTTCAGGTTTATGAAAGGGTAGGGATTTTATTAGTTGAAGTATATAAAAGGGTAGGGAAATCTGTCATTTTGGTCTGTGAAGGGCCCAAAAGGGCTGGCAGATGAATTTTATAGCTTTATAAACTCTAGAAAACGTTCTATTTTAGAGATTAGGAGGGGGTGCACTTGTCTCTAACTTGCTCTACTTCAACACCAATAAACCGCATAGTTTTTTTTTTGGCAGAATACCAGTTGTATTAGAAAACGGCAGGTCATCTCAGGTGGGGGGGGGGGGGGGGGGGGGGGGGGGCCCCCCCCCCCCCCCCCCCCCACACCCCCCCCCGTTTAATAAAAATATTTCTTTTTTACTTACCCTTGTCTTTTTTCACTAATCAGCCCACATATTTCTTCCCCCCTTTTTATTATTTTTTTTTTTGTAACACAAGTGAGGATATATGTAAAAGCGCGAGAGATGGATGGGGGGGGGGGGGGGGTGAGTAGGTGCGCAACCCCTTCACCCTCCCCCTAGATCCGCCCCTGGTTAATAGACATAGTTCATTCTTAGCATACCTTGCCTTCTTGAACTAACTGAGACATGTATTATGCTCCTCCTTTTAGATAATTTCTGTGATGGAAAACCTAATGGTGACTACAAAGACCCCGATACCTGCCATGGTTTTATCTCATGTTCAAATGGGATTCCGTACAAAATGCCTTGTCCAGCTAACCTGTGCTTTAATGAAAGAAAGGATCAATGTGACTACTGTAAAAACGTGCCATGTGGTAAGCCTTTAATTTTTATTCACCATTATCGCGGTCAGCAGTTTAAAATTGGGGACTGTGGACTACAGCCTCTCCTGAGAACAAAAGCATTCGCAGAATAGTTCAGTTCAGTTTAGTTTTTCATTTACACTTTAATATTTATGACATTCTGACATTGCATATAGTAACGTAGGAATGAAATAACGAACAGGAGAAGAAACGAAAAGGAAGAAATTAATGGCTTTGCTAGAGGTGTACGGCGGTCAGATTAGCTTAGCTTTCGAGCTTACCACCGCTTAATGAAAATGTGTGCGCTAGTTGTCATGGCAGCTTTCGACGACGATCATGTGAAACAGCCATCTTGCATTGTCACCTTTGTGAGTTAGAGTAGGGATACATAATGCAGAATTAGCACTTGCGTGTCTTAGATTTAGCTAACAAAACTGACATATACTGAAACTTGGCCCACTAGTCTAGCTGTTTTACCTAACCATTTGTAATCGCTTTTTCCGGACATGCAAATAGGACAATTGCACGATGACGATATTTGACTACAACTAACAGAATTCATTTCGGTTTTGCTTTGTTATTTAAATTTGTCAATCCCGCTGAGGATTAAAGAACAATAGCCTTAATTTGCACAAGAGAACAACAAACTCAAGGATTCTGGTAGTTGTAGTAAAATGACGTCATCGTGCAATTCTCCTATTGTCTATCACTTTAGCCCGCATTGTACATACTTTCCTGTGTACCTCCGTATAGATCCAGTTGATGGTGGTTGGTCTCCCTGGAGCCCTTGGTATCCCTGTTCTGTTTCATGTGGGGGAGGCATCCAAATCAGGGTCCGCACTTGCACCAACCCCCCTCCGTCTTACGGTGGAAAGCCTTGCTGTGGCCCGAGCGTGGAGTCGAGAGCTTGCAACCAACAACATTGCCCCTGTAAGTATTGAACAGTAGCAATTGTGCAGGTAAATTTATCTTTATAACCTCTTTTTGTTATTTCTGTGACACGACATCGGGTCCTAACGTTTTAACGTTCAGCGTTGGCTAAAGGATAGCAGTTTAATGACTTAGACAAGAGACAAGGCTATAGGTTCTACTACCAGCCCCCTATATGTACTCTGAACTTATCTGTACCATTGTAACCAAAAAATAATAATAATAAGACATTCTATATTACAATGGTACTCATTTTGGAAATCGGCCATTAAACGTGCAGTTCGTGCAACTGACGTGATGGGAGAACAAAGGATAATTCGAACTTCAAGTCCACACGAAGCTCCGCCCAAACGACAATTTCAGAGTATTATGGTATTTTTTTCAAAGCGACCCATAATTATGTGATTTTCCAATCTGCGTTTTCTTTCAGTCACTTGCCGAGGAAAACCAAATGGAGATTACAAGGATCCCAACAACTGCTATGGGTTCATAAGCTGCAGTAATGGTATAGCGTATTATATGCCATGTCCAGCTGGCCTTAGATTCAATGCAGCCTTGGATAAGTGTGATTGGCCAGAACACGTGAAGTGTTAAGTGAAGCTTTTGTGACCGGCCATGGAATTCGAAACGGCGAACGGCAAACGGCTAATGTTATCAGTGGTTAGAAAAGGTGGAAGCAACCTAAAGCGTCAATATTTTAAATAGCATGCATGTTTTTAGTTACATTCATGTGTTTAGTTAGTTAGTTTTTTTTTCTTTAGCTTTTCTGCTCCCCTTTCTTTCCCTGAACTGCTAAATCTTATTCCTAAATCATTCTTTTTTTTTTCTTGAGAGATGGTTCAATAAAACAAAGGAGTTAAAAAATATTCAGGGTAGCGCTACCATTTCAAAAAGGCACAAGCACGTAAATAGAACCAAGTCTGCTTTATTCAGATTCCTGCTTTAATTTCAGAATTTTATTGCTTTAATGAAAGAGTCTTAAATACTTTGTGCAATAGTTTTATCATCGTTATGGAAGCGAGCATAGGCGTTTTAAATGGTTTAGGTCTCCTTAAATAGTCATTCCTACAAGGGTCAATAAATGTGTAATCGTGAAAATCAGCAAAAAATAAAGTCTATTCTTTAACGCTTCATCTATTATGTATCAGTTAGCTGTAATTTTTATTTATTTATTTTTTTTTCAAATTTCATTTATTGAAAGAATAATTTCTAATCATCGGAAATATGTCTTTAATTATCAGAGATTTTATGCAATTACCATTAACCAGGGGCTCCTTGTGGGATTCTTCTAACCTCCGGCTCGGAATTTCCTTCGGCTCGTCACAAATTCCTCGCCAAATATCATTTTCACACCAAGACGTTTTTAACCACAGAAAGCGACCGTCGTGGCTGTTTTAATACGTCCCCGCCTTAAGTATGAACAGGAGAACATAAAGCAAGGCGCGTTTTGGGCTCATGCTACCCTGGGGGATCTTTTGTATATTTGGCTACTTTCTTCCACCGATCCCTATATTTCATAAGGTTCCGTATTTCGGTCGTTACAAAGGAGTTGGGCGCCCACAAAGTTTGACTGTCGTTTAAGGAGTATGCTTGTCTATTACATCATTGAATAATAGATTGAAATTATGCATTCAGTTTGTCTTTAGGATTATCGAAAACGTTCAGAACACACCGTCCAAGGTACTTGCGAAATATCAGCATAGAATTGATCCGGCCGGCAGTATTTGAAGCTCCTTGTTGTAATATAACTTGGTTTCGGGCGAGGAGCAAGGAGTTGATGTTTCAACATGAACGGTTTAGCGAATATGGGAACGTGATTACTTATTGAGCACGGACTGTTTCACAAAAAGATAACCCGGCTGGGATAGTGTGTGAAATTTGAATTCAGACATGCCAAAGCTTTAAATTAATATTAACTTTGATTCTCTTTGTCTACATTTTTCTATGATTGGATGCTCTAAAAAGAATGGAGATAGTTATCCAAGAAAATGCCTTTAAACAAAAGAAAAGAAAAGTCGGATGAAGTCGGATACAACTTAGCCCCAGTTAGCGCTAATCGGCCTTCGAACAACTGGGCGGAAGTTATCTATCGCCTATGTTTTTAACCAAGCTTCAGGTTTCAGTAAGGGAAAAAGTCCTGGGGAGATAGCGAGCTCGCTGTTTGCTTTTGCACGTTTTGCACTCATTGCGAGCCTAACAAGATATGGGCAGCCGCTGACAGATTAAATAAACACCGTTTCTATGGCAACGGAAGTCAAAAGAACAATCATGGCTCGGCGGCATGAACGATTTACATGTTCTTTGTTTTGAGTACATACAGTTCTAATCACTTCACAAAGCTTAGAATGTGTAGAATGAAGTTCAGAAACGCTTACATATCGATTTCAAATTAAATTTTCACAAGATGGTAGAGAAATCTAAACCCACGGCTGCCCCGGAGAGGTTGGAGAGTCTGCCGAAACGACCAGGTAAGGCATCATTCGCCATTACTATTTTATGACAACGCAATTATCCCTCAGTAAAGGTTTTATTAACCGCCAGGATTCAGTTGAATTTTTTAAAAATATGTTGTTGGGAGCTTCTCTGTCATGTTCAGTGCATTTCTAGCCTGTTCACAGGCTCTCTGTTTGGGGAAAATCGTGCTAGTGCACGCCAAATGTCCCCCCTTCAGAACATCATCTCCTTTCGTGCCGCCATTGAGTCTCACTACAGTATAAGGGTCCAACTTCCAAGACGTCAACATGGTCATACCAGAGGAATTAATGACTTGGTAACTTATAAATTTCAGTGAATGTATGTAAATGGTTAATATTGTATGTGACAATGACCTTCCCCAACAATTCAGTTAGTTCTGCAAGTGGGTGAAATAAACAGAATATCTATCTCTATCTATCTCTATCTATCTATCTACCCCCTTCCCTCTCTTCGCGATTTTTTCACCCTTTCCCCAAACAGAGAGCCTGTTCACAGACAAGTGCATTTCAAGCAATAAAATTTGTGAAAACATCCTTAATCAGTATCTTGATAGTACAGGATAGCGACTGTAGCTTTGATATCAGAGTGGTGCTTGAGTTAAAGGTCAACCAGAATCAATAGTTTAATAAGTTACTTGTACATTGAGGGTGGTTTAAACTGATATGTACTCATGTTGTTGTTATAAATATAAAGTACTTATTCTGCCAAGCACAAGGTTTTTTGAAAGTGCAGGCTCAAGCCTACACCACTTTATTCACAATGGGGTAAACCAATGTACATCTCATTTTATTTTTGTTTGATTCTGGTTTACTGCGTTTTTCACAAACATGTGAATTCTGAAGTTCAAAAGCCAACTGATGATTGCGTTTTCCTCTGCCGTCAATCATCTTAACGGACCTCTAAGGAAACAAAACTTTACTTTAACTGGTTCAAAAGGTCATGGCTTGTGATTTGTGATTGGTGGATTTCGATCTGTTTTGTGTGTTTCTGTATTTCAAGGTTCAATGCTTGTGATCATAATTATGATTGACGGTAGTGAAAAACGCAATTGTGAAGGCGGCTTTTGAACTTTAGAGTTTGCATATTTGTGAAAAGCGCAGTAAGATTTCAAGTTTTCTGTTTTTCCTAAAACTGAATTTTGCTCAGTGGTAAATATTGCCCATTTTTGTATAACCCAGTCAAAGTCAAAAGCATCAGTGTCATATACAGGGCTTTGCTTGAGATAACTAGCACAACCTAGAGGCCCCTGATACTTTACTTTAGCTCTTGGACGACTTAAAGATGTCTCAGTTTTTTTTTTCAAAGAAATCACATGCTGGGCACCCTTGATTTTAGAGGTTCAGTGCATTGGGATCCCTAGAGCACAGCCTTGCTATACATACCACTTTAACTGACTGAGGGTGTGCACAGAGGCCATTACAGGGAAATCTCAGACTGAGGTTAATGCATCAAGGGGGAGGTCTGAGATCAGTCCCTGTAATGACTGAACAGAGGAGGTTAATAAGTTGTTTATTATATGGCCTTTTTAGTACTATTCTTAAATTGAATACAATAAAAACAATTCAAGAACACTGGAAGTAATTTTCAACATCTGTGTGTGAGAGGTCATGTTCACTGAACCAAAATGAAGCGGGTGATGCAATCAAAACCAAAAGACACAGTTTCTTTGACATCAGAAGTCTTGGATCTGAGCCTGCGTTCAATTCAGTCAGTCAGCGAGTAACTTTAAAAAAAGCATGCCACCTCAATGAGTTGCACATTTGAGCCCATGGTACGTCCGCATGACATTGGTCAGGAGATATACCTTTTTTGACAGTCAATTGACCATACAGAGATGTCCACTATCAAGTTAAAGGCAGATTTTATATGCCTTGGACACCTATACATGGAGCTAGTATTGCCTGGTCATAACAAGACACCTTGCCCGCTTAGCAGCCAATCAGAGCAAGTGTACTATTGTAGCCATGTAATTAATGATATTGTGATTTCCCATGCACTATCTTTAGTGGTTTAGAGTCAGGAAATGCTACTTATTTGAAGATAATATACTTTATGTGAATTATTTTCCTGTTAGGACCTAGTATTCTTAAGAAATCAAGCACCTCATTGCAGCCAGTGCCTGAGTTTGCAGAGTCAAAGATTCAGAGAGCAGATTCTAACCTGGAAACTGTTGAGAGTGAGGTACATTATTTTTGCAGTATAATTATGTAATGTGCAGTCTCACTTTTACTCTACATCTTACAGTACCTAATCAGGGGTGGGGAGGGGTTGACTGCCCTTAAAAAAACAACAACAACAACAACAACAAAACAAAACAAAGTAAAAACTGTTGATGATAGGCCGGTAAATTATTTTTGAGGTTAACAAAGGTAATTCTTCAACACTACATTATTTACAGACTGATGTACATGTATATAGGAGGAGTATTAATTTTAATCAGTGTTGCTCAAATTTGTTTTCACCAATATGTATTAAGGGGTTCTAATATTAATTTTCCAACAACAAACACATTGTCTAATTAAATTGGTGGGCACTGTAAATTTTTTAATATATGAATCACAAGGTAGACAATTTGTGAGTACTTACAAACACTGTGACCTTACCAATAATTATTTTAATTTCCCCATAATTCTATTATGAACTTTTACATGGTAGATTTGGTAATGCAAATTTTACACTGAAAAATGAAAAGCTACGTATACCATGAAAGACTATTTGCAGCTTTCTGACTGCATCTAAACTATGAAATAGATACAAAATTGACCAGTAATACGTACAGCTGTACAGCATATAATCCATACCTACGTATAAAGATATTGGGACACTATTTGTCCGCAGAGAACTTCAACTCCACATGAAGAACAGCAAAAATTTAAGACACTGTGTGAGGGTGTACAGAACTGCTTGGCTTTATTCCAAACTTCTTTGTCTGAGGTGAGCAACTATAATAATAACTATGGTCATATAATTTCTATAGCTGTTTGTGAATAAATTGGTAAACAGCTTGCGAGAGAGTATACAGTCTGCAAGCAATATTGTTTGTTTCTTTTACTGTATCATAAGTGGTAAGCTTGTGTCTAAGCAGATGCCTGATATAAATTTTTGGCCCTACCAAAAGC